ACTCTCGGGTTTTCCTTACCGACATTATCACTGATTTTTCCCCTTATCGCAGACAAAAATAAGCCAAATTTGGAGAAAAATTTCACAGCTACAATCTTACTAAAAACTGAATCGTTAGAGTAAATTTTACAACCTTGGAATTGAGTTACGTTCCTTCGTTCGGGACGCTTCGCTTTCGACCGATTAAAGGCCTAACGGGGGAAGACTGAGCATGCTGTTATGTGCTGCACTGTGAATTTAATTGCGTTTAAAGAGTCTGTCGGAGCTTTGGCTATTTTAATTAAAATTAAAGTAATCGATAAGCAGCAGCTTCCGCGACGAATCGTGCGCCGATATCTCATCCTCAGTATGAGTACAGAATTAATTACTTTTGAGATAGTTGGTTCATGACTAGAGGATGGACTCTTTGTACCGTTGGATTCATTTATGCTAAAAGAAACTATGTGCATAGGGTTTTCAGACGACGAAGTTTCTTTTAGCATAAATACGCCCAATTCTAGTAGGTTTACGCGTTCTGAATATTTTCAAGCACTGAGGATTAAAACAACCTAACACACATGCCGCATTACAGTGTTCCCTTGCGCTCAGGGACAACTTACCGCCATATTATAGTTCCCTCGAAAAAACAATGGGTGCCTGCTCGGGTAAAAATTGACCGAAAATTGTATCATTTAGACGAATTTGAACCGAAAGAAACTTTATCCATCCCTACATGAGTCGCGCGATCGATGAGAATAATGGATCCATTTACTTTTGATTTAAATACGTCCATTTTTCTAAAGACAGCAGCAAGTGCCACATTCAATATGGCATCACTATTATTCTACCTATTCAGTATAATTTTTTTGACATTAGGAGGATAATATTGTCTCAAAGTCTCCAAATTTTCTGACGATGACTTTAAACTTCAAATGGTCGCATGGAAGTGGTTTAAAGTTCAATCCAGATGAAGATAATTTCACAATAGTTTCCGAAAGAAATTACACAGAAAACGAACCACAAAGGGGGAAAACTGGAGCTCTAGGCATAATATTTTGTCCTTATTGGGATTTTTAGGGGAACCCCCCCCCCCTCCTTCCCATTATGAGCCAGGGCCCATACATTCCTCCTAAATCCGCCCCTGCTTATAGAACTGTGCAAATGAATATTTCATTAATCGTTAAATGCAATCATGTTTCCTTGATTTTTCACACAAGGTTAACCATGGGCCTTCAGCGAGGCCTTTTCCACTCATCTTGTGGTTTTCATGCCGCACATTAATTAAATGCATTCTATAGTCTTAATGACAGTTTGCATGTTACAAATATTGAAAATTATTTTGATGCAGAGGAACTGCAATTTAATACGCCTTAATCATCTAGTAAAACGGGGAAATAAGTTGGAGGATGTTTCGGGACCACGGGAAAGTCAGAGGAGAGAGAACAATGCTAGAGGGAGACAAGCGTGGGCCTGCAGTCGGAAGGAGGACGCAAGAATTACCTCGTAACTTATGGTGTTTATGTAAAAATATTGGCCCAAAGGTATATAAAATTCACGGTTGCCACATTTGGTGGGGAAAAAGCTATTTCAACTGACGGGGGAAGCAATAGCGCTTCGGAACTACATATCGTACGTATGGCCGTACGTAACTACGTATGGCCACGGCCATACATCACACAGTGGATCGAGTCAATAGAAGAAGCTGGACAACATTTTGAAACTGTAAAAGCTTATAACTCCGTTTATACAACATTTTGAGGTTCTAAAAGTGGTCCCATTAGTTTTCTCGTAGAATTTACTTTAAAAAGCACCCCTTGAAATTTAAAATGCGACGAAATAAACAGCAATATTTGCAGTTTTGGTCAAAAATTTCATGTCCGACCTCACTAATTGACTCGATCCACTGTGCGTCTGTGGGGTGACGATGTGCTAAGATTACTAAGACCCGAGTGTGTCAGACTACGATTAAATGACTCTATATTTCGTTTGGTGACGTCACAGGAATGTGCCCACTTCATAATAACGCTCTCAACTATGTACCGATGGATTGATATCGTCCTTTCCTGGCTAAAAATTCAAAATCTGACAAGATCTTAGACGTAATCGACGCGATTGATCGAACGGCAGTTCGACCACGCCAATAATCCGAGACGAATCATCGTAAGAATGAAAAAAAATTTGATGGTTTTTTTTCTCAGTCTGACAATGTTCGACTGCGGTTAGCGTTTGGCTCACATTGTTGGGAAAATAAAGGTTCCCATGGTCGGATTCGTCCCCCACCCACGCGCTGAGCCTTAGGCCGCCGGGCATCACGTACATGAAGTATGGATGCCAACCTACCCGCAGGACTCGCCGCGCCAATTAAACCGCCCCCTCCCCCCTCCCCCGCCCCCTTCAGCCACCTTCGCTAATATGCTTAACTATATCTGTCTTGGACACTTGAGCTGAAGCCGACGGTCATCTCAATACTCAGAGGTTTTCTATCAACGGTTAATTAATCGAAATTCTTTCAATTCGATGAATCAATCGATTGTTACAGACTCACTCAACTGTTAATCGAGTAATCGAAAATTGAAATTTCCGGGTCTCCATGTCAATTTTTTATAAATCAGCACGAAACCTCAAAAAATTTTATCTCAAAATCCTAAGTGCTAATACTTTATGGAAAAATAGGATTTCAGGAGGAATTACGGATAGGTTTGTGCGGAAGTTTCCTAACAAAAACGTTCAGCGCACATGCTTTTCTCCCCCCCCCCCTCAAATTCAGCACGAATGCATGATTTACACTTGGGAACCCCATTAGACATCTCTTGGTTAAGATTGTCATCGGCTCGCCTCGGAACCATTCCCACAATGTCTCTATGAATTTCATGTGTGACTCTTCAACATTTCTTACTACACTGGAAAAAAAAAACTCATTGGCTCTAGAGTCCAGACTCTTGAAAACATTGACAAGAAAAAGGACTCTTGATTCAATCAGATTTAAGCTTAAATCAAAAGGAAATCCGCTCAAATTAAAAGGCTTGATTCTTGATTTAAGCTTAAATCTGATTGAATTAAGAGTATTTTTTCTTTTCGATATTTTTAATAGTCTGGACTCTAGATCCAATGTGTTTTTTTTTTTCCAGTGTAGGTTTAAACAATTGCACTTGCGACTTTTCCCACCAAATCTGAGGCCGCAGTCGGTAGACCTCTGTCGTTTAAATTCGTGCAATTTATGTAAAATGGTCTCATCCACTTGAAATTCGCTGAAGATGATCGATATGGATCAATTACGATTATAAAACTTGTAATCTCAAAAGTCTGCGGGGCGCAAATTTATGTTTGGTGTCTGACGAGACCAGTCCTCATTTCGATGGATTGCATTTTTTGGGTGGCCTTGTCGCCACAGGGCGCTACTGCTCATGCCATTTATTTTGAGCTCCTCAAAATTAATCACCAATTCGCATCGTCCTCATGTGAGAAAAAATGCGCTTAACGGTTTTTTTGCGAGGAGGAGGGAGGGAAGGGGTTTTTTGGAGTTTGTTGGTGCAACGGCATGTTGGCAAATTCTCCGCGATAAAACGTTAATTTTTTAGTAAAATTATGAATATCCCACCCTGAAATCCTCACATATTTTAGATCAAATAGCGTCTGAATTTCTCTGATAAATTGGAAAAACAGTCACGGGTTTTCCTGAAAATTCGTATTTTATTGAAGTAAATTTGGCAACGTCGTAAGGTTTACACGGCTTTGCTGCATAGCATGGGAGAACAGTCAAGGTTTAAAGGCCTGGAACGGCGGTGGGCGGAGGGATGGCGGTGGGAGGAAGGGCGATTAATTCCGGAGTGGCAACAAGCAGCGGCCGGTGACTGGTGACTGGCGAGAAGTAGCAACGGCTACTGTTTAACAAACAAGCTGTAACCTTTAACAAGTTGCTCGCGCCCAGAGTCGCTGTTCGCATGCTCGCAGTGCTCATCCGAGTCAACCCCCCGTCGCCTCGCCAATTCGAGTACCCTCCCCTGCACGCCCCCTCCTCGCCTACCGGAGGGGGGGCGGTTTACGCTCTGCCGTGCCAAGGAAAAACGTCGTATGAACCTTCGGGTGTTGCCGAATTTCCTTTGATAAAACACAAATTTCCTGGTAAACTTATGGATATTGTATGTAACAAGGCGGAGAAATGGTGCTGGGTCCACACCATTTCGCGGGGAAATCAAAGCTGAGAAGTACAGAATTCAGGCCACTTCTTAGTGTTTTTTTCTCACTTATGAATATTTTTCTTTCAATTTTTCAGATGAGTTTGTTTGCAATATCACCTGAAGCTCCTGAAAATTTCAAAGAAAAATATTCCTAACTTTTCTTAAAAATAAGCGTTTTATCGAAGGAAATTTGGCAACTTTCGAATGTTTATACGGCGTTGTTCCCTAGCGCGGCAGCGATCCCCTTTCTGGAAGAAAAAGGGAAAACAGAAAGAAGGAAGGATGCTTATATTTGATAATTATTTTTGATGTTTACTCAAACCGCATATGAGATGCTTCAAGATTCCGAAAATTTTCTGGAGGAAAGCACCCCTGACCCCTCCTCCCCCCCTCCACCTCTCACTCGAAATTTTGGATCAGCCTATGCCGCCTACTCGCTTATGCTTTCCTCAATTGTACGTATTTCTACCAAACCGAACTATGCGCATTAAGACATGAGCCCTGAGACCCATAAGAATATATGCATAACAGGGCTCAAGTCATCATGCACATAGTTCCGTTTAATAGAAATACGTCCAATTAAGGAATACCGGGAAATGTCAGGGAATTTTGAAAAGTCAGAGAAAACCTGAAAATGTCAAGGAAAATGATCATATCCCTAAACTCCCTCTAAGAGGAGCACTTTTTTGGCAGGTCCTTTGTAAAAAAAGAGCTGGAACGTCATCACGGAATTGAGCAGTTTTCGAAGCAAACCATTGAAGTGCACTGAGGCTTCCTCTGATCGAATCTGTCAAATAATCGTCGTGATGATTGAGTGATGACGTCATCGTTGAATTGTTTCAGATACCCGGACTCGCGGCTAGCGAAGCTGTTCAACGGCAGCATCCCGATCGTGTTAGACTCGCTGAAACAACACTATTTCATCGACAGAGATGGAGGCATGTTCCGGCATATCCTCAACTTCATGCGCAATTCCCGCCTTCTTATTCCGCAGGACTTCCCAGACCTTGATCTCCTTCTAGAAGAAGCTAAATATTTTGATATTGCACGTAAGTCTAAATACTAATGATGTTTTGTTCAATAATATCCTCAGTTTGAAAACGACCCAATTCGAGTTTTCTACGATGCTCATTTTTTTAGTGGAAACACTGTGCTTCTGACTGTTGCGCAGATTTTATTGCCTCCTGAACAATTTTATTTTTCCGAGATGGATCCTTTTCTAACTGAGATTCAATTGGTTTTTTTCACCACCTCTATTCGTGACTTTCCATGGGAAAAGGAGCTTTGGTGCACGAAAACTTTTCTTTCTTTCTTTTTTTGACGAAACAAATGTGAGTGACTCAGTTTTTATTTCAAAATGACTAAAGTGACGTTCTCATTTTGAATTGACGTAATCCATCCCGAGTCGCTGTAATCTTATTTACTTTTCTCACAAAATGACTCAGTTGGGCGTATTTAAATCAATTAGAACTATACCTACTCTAATATGAGCCCTGTGATTCCTTAAAATATCGACCATGCACCATGCACGACAGGGATCTTGTCACAATGTGTATGTATAGTTCCTTTTGATTTAAACGCATTGATATCCAGTCTTCTTTCTGAAATCATCTAAGTGACATCCACCTTCAAAATACGTCATTTTCATCCTCTGTTCCCGTTTCTGTATCCATTTTTGTAAAAACATACGTAAGTTGCTTTCAGCACTGGAAAAAAACACATTGGATCCAGAGTCCAGACTCTTGAAAACATTGACAAGAAAAAATACTCTTGATTCAATCGGATTTTTGCTTGAATCAAAACGAAATCCGCTTGAATTAAGAGGCTTGGTTCTTGATTTATACTAGATTCTGATTGAATGAAGAGTACTTTTTCTTGTCGATGTTTTTGAGAGTCTGGACTCTAGATCCAATGTGTTCTTTTTTTTCCAGTGAGTTTTATTTCTGAAATGGCGTAAGTGACACGTATTTCTTTTTTTTTTTAATTATTGTTTTAAGGCAGCCCATATACCCAGTGCTCTCGAGCGAGCCCTTGTATTCGTTGAGTGTTGGCGAGCCGAACGAGGCGCAACAGCGATGCCAAATCGGTCGATCAAATACCCGACTCATTCCGAAAATCCGAGGATCTTTCGGTCCAAGTCGCAACTCGTCGCTCCTCCGACGTAAGGGCGTATCTCGATTTCCTCATGAGCCCTTGAAAGGATAGATTCACATGTGAAACAGGGCTCAGGTGAAAAATCGAGATAGGGCCTTACGTCAAGTGCGCTCGACGGGAGGACGGGCCCTCGGAGGCATTTTCACCGACCCAGGCGGAAAATAGACGATATTTCACGACGCTGCTATTTAGCCGGAGCACACACAGCCCGGAGAAGCGGAGCCAGCGCGGCGCGGCGAGAAACGAAGTAAAAAGTTTTCGCTGATAAGAGTTTAAAATGTTGCTAGGCTCGGCGGGGCGGGGAGGGGGCGGAGCCTGGGGGCGCGAGACGAGGTGGATCGGCGGGGTGGGGCGCTAACGCCAAAGGGTTGCTCTTCAGCAACCAGGTCGTGATTGAGTAGCGTCATTGTCGCGTCGACCCAAGAAAACGCTATTTCGGGACTTGAACCTCGTTGTCACGTCACGAAAAGCCAAGGAAGATTTCACAGAGCGAGATGAACAGCGGGCTGATTTTTGAAATTGATAGACAAAGCTGTAGACAAAAACGAAAAGGGGAAAATGGAGCGACCCTGTGGGTTGAAAGGGCACTGGAAAAAAAAATACATTGGATCTAGAGTGCAGACTCTTAAAAACATTAACAAGAAAAAATACTTTTGATTCAATCGGATTTTTGCTTAAATCAAGAACCAAGCCTCTTAATTTGAGCGCATCTCCTTTTGATTTAAGTAAAAATCTGATTGAATCAAGAGTATTTTTTCTTGTCAATGTTTTCCAGAGTCTGGACTCTAGATCCAATGTTTTTTTTCCAGTGGGTGGTTAATATAGACTGGGAGAAAACTATTCTTTTTGTTACGCTTGTACATAGCAAGATAAATGAATGAGCAGGGTGTTTATTGAAATTGATGGACAAAGCTATAGACGAAAGATAGGAAGGAAAAATTGAGCGACCCTGTGAGTTGAAATGGTGGTTGTCATAGACTGGGGGAAAACTATGGATTTCGTTACACTTGCACAGAGCAAGACAAGCAGCGGGCTGTTAGTTGAAATTGATAGACAAAGCTATGGACAAAAGATAGAAAGGAAAAATGAAACGATCCTGTGGATTTAAACCGCCTTCAATCCGCCGTGTATGCAAAAATGGATTTGCCGCGTTTAAATAGTTATCGACGTAGAATTCCCTTTATATCAAGATTTTATTCAAAAGAGATTGAAGGAGTGCTCCCATCACCTCGATGACCGACCTACACATTTGTCAGGGGCCGTTCAATTATTGTGTCGGGCATTTTGACCGACTTTTTACCCCTCCCCCTTCTTGCATATAAACCACCCCTAAGGCAATATTTCACCCTCTCTATTGAACTGCGTAAGATTAGCTTGATCTCCTCCCCCAATTTTTCAGAAAATGATTTAAAAACGGTTAAAAAGAATGAAAAAAAAGTATTGCAATTTTATGTATTTATGTTTTTGAGTTGGAGACTGTACCTCACCCCCCATCCCCCTTGTACCTTCTCAGGTCAGCTCAGCCCCCCCTCCCCCCTCGTTTAATAGCTTACGTAGTGCTTGAATGGCCCACTTTCGAGAGAAAGTAATGAAAACCCGCCCGCCTTCAATGAATCGTGTATGCAAAAATGAATCCGCAGCGTCAGTATAGTTACCTACGCAGACTTTCGAAGGGGCCGGTCGGCAACGTGGCTCGAAAACGAGGGAAAAATCCGGGATTTTCGAGGGTTTCCGGAGCGCGGCGGCAACGAGGGCGAGTCGACGAGATTGACTGCTCGCGGCCCTTTTCCACTTTCTTATTTTTCTTTTGAACTGGCGCGGCGCGCGCGAGGAAGAGTGTACGCGGAATTTGAAGAGATTAAACCCCCGGGGCGAGCTCGAGGGCAGGTCGGTCGGAGGGGGGCGGGGGGCGCAGACGGCGGGGCGGGGTGGAGTCGCGTCGCAGCACTTGTGGCCGCGGGTCACAATCCGCTAGATTGCGCCAAAATGTCTCAAAGCCGGCGCGGGAAAACAGCTCCGAGATCCACCGGCAAGGTTCCGGAGGATTAACGGAATTTTCGCCGGATTTCACCCGACAACGTGACGCTGCCACGAAGAGAGCCAGTATAACGACCAAATTTTAGCGGGTTATTTGAATAAATGCATGATTTTTCAAAAATCAAGTTTTGAGGAAGCATGAAAAAACCTCGAAAATTCTTCATATTTTAAAGAAACTCATGTTCTACGTACAATCTGGATCACGGTTACACGAGGAGGGTCAGTTTGGCGAGAAATTGAACAAATTAAGATTTCGGTGGATACGCCCTTCCTCCACAAAGCGGATCAGTACTGCTATTTTTAGCAATATTATGCCAGGCAAGTAGCATGCGTGCTCGATGAAAATATTGAAAATCATCGTTTGTGCCCTCACTCATGGAGAGAGGTTGCTATGAACTTTCGCCCTTCTCTCACTAAAGCATACATTCAAATGTCAAAATCATGTTTGTTTATGAGCGATTTTGGTATAATCGCTCGGTAGTGAGATGCGTCTACCCTACCGTAGTATTCCATCAAACACTCAATTTCTGAAAATACGGCGGCTACGTGTTTCTTCAACAGCCTCGTTTATTTTCGGAATCGATTTTTTTCTCAAAATTTCACCGATTAATGAAAATGAACCCTCGACTCGACACTTAATTCAGCTCCTCTCTTCGGAAATTGCGCCCCTCAACGCTTGCAATCCTACAGCCCTGAGAAAAGTAGAGAAACCAGACGGTAAATGGAACGTATTTAAATAAGAAAGATGTCCGAGGATCCTTACATCTTGCGCCGAAGCGAGCCCGCATTTTCAAACAGCAACCATCTCTTGCTCGAGCAATCGTAAAGCTATTAACATGGGCGATAACAGTGGATCAGGGGCGCAAATTATCCGCTGGTGCCTCAAACCACCGCACAGTGGACATAACGCCTTCAATTTGAACAATATTTTTCTGAACTTATTATTATCCCATTTATGGTAAGCAGTATCTCTAAGAGGCTTTTTAAGGATTACGTAGGGCATTTTGGCAGACTTTCCGTCCACCTTCTCCCCCTTGTAGCCACTCGTAAGGCAGCACCTTACCTCCCCTCTTCCCTTAAGTAGCCCACGTAATACTTGAACGACCCCTTAAAATGACTGACAAAATGTGTGAGGAATCAAAAAAATATATTATTAAAAAAGCTTTATTTCTGGCTCGACAATAAAATCAACTATCGTCCTATGGAAACTAATAGCCCATACGTTGTGTTAGAGATGAGCCTGAAAGAGTTATTGCAAAATGTCCAGTTTACGACGATTGCGTGAACTGGACTTCATTTTGTTATAAGGAATATCTGGCTCATACTAGAAACAACTTACAATTGTACATTGCTCTTGATGTTCTTACGCTGACAGGTGTCCCCTCTTCTTCTCTTTCACTTTCCCATTCTTATTTTTTCTCGTTTTCCTCGATTTTCTCTGTTTCTTCCTCCTATTTTTTAGTTGTGATCTCTTTCCCTCCTCTTCACATTCCTCCTTCTTCTCTTTCTTTTCCTCTATTCCCTCCTCATTATCATCTTTTTCTTCTCTTCTTATTTTCACTTTTCATTTCCTCGTTTTTTTCACTGTCCTCCTCCTCTCTTCCCTTTACCTTCTTCTCCATTTTCCTCCGCCTCTCTTTTTCTTTTCCTTTTTCATCTTCCTCTCCTTCTTTCCTTCAATTTTTCCTTTACAGGTTTGCACCCATATCCATAAGCCAGAAATATTAATTCCTAAGTGCAAACTGTAGCCCAACTGTGCGGCCGGTCGAGGAAGATTTGCCAGGGCAGGTGTGAGCGCCAAGAGAACTCGCGGGGATGAGCTTAGAGGGAAATAATTAAGAAATAAATAACCGGCGAG